CAACAACATTTTTAATTCAACATTTTATTCTTTATAAGTTGCAAATCGATAATAGAATATTTATATCGATATATTAGCCAAAACTATCGACTGATCATCGAAGTAATAAAAATGTATGGAATTCAATGAAGGATGGGTTTGGATTGATTGATCATTAGAGGGTGTAAATGACTGGGGATTGATGGGGGGAAGGATAGGCTATAATACAACACATATATAAATGAAACACAAACAAACAAAAAATAGAACCCTTTGTACACGCTGAAGAAGGCCCTAAGGAGTCTCATGTTGAGAAACATAAAAGGAAGGAAATACGAAGTGTAAGAAATGTCTGAAATCTGTGTCACACAACGGGTCTGTCACTTACGCAAATGCTCTATATGCACAAAACACACACCAGACGACGAGGAGAATGTATGAGATGCGCCCCATGTAGGAAGAATGTATGGATTGGAGAGTATATATGTACAGATCACACTGATGACTATCTTTCTAGAAATACAATCAATCGACCATATATAGAAATCTACAATGCTGCACCTGTGGTTGACAAGTAAGTGGGAAGGCGATGCGTTAGAGGTTGCTGACGTCGGAGATTGAAAGACTATTTGAAAAAAAAATGTTCAAAACGAGTCCTTTGAATTCTACTCCAACGTCAACAATCTCGGAGCGCACCCGGCTCATCGAGTTCAATGCTATGGAGCGATTACGATTACTTGTGAGCCAGGGCACTCTTGCATGGTGACAATGACAAGACAACAGAGAGTTTGGGGGAGCACGGGGGCCGCGTCCGGGTGGGGTGGGACAGCTCCGCCCCCAACACCTGCAGCGGGCGAGAGGAAAGATTTTAACAGAAGATATAACAGAACGCTAACACGGTTCACATCTCGAATGGCATATGAATGATGATCGATGTGGAGGGGATTATGAGGAGACAAAACCGGTTGACTGATGAATGAATGGACGTAAAGCTACACCGTTTGGACTGAGAGCTTGCAAATGCACATCAGAATTGAGAGACGAGATTTTGGTTGGATAGAAATCTTTCAAAGTCTTACATAATTTAAAAGAAATTGCATGTTATAATACAATATATAGAGCAATACAAAAACATGACACATACATACATATAACACAAACGAGATGGAAGGAGATGCGTAATGACAGTAATACGATTGTGATTGACGAAAAAACATATAAAAACCCGCTAAAGATGAGAGGACAAGGAGGAGGAAAATGGAGATGGTTTGTAGTCCCTGGGGATGTAACAATAAACCCGGTACGCACACATTTAATAGGGCCCACCGTGCGTGGTATAACGAGCGCAACGCTGGCAGCGCCACACATAGCCACATCGCAACGGGGGTGACCGGCTTTGGAGAGGAGAATGAGAGGGGGAGCACTCACTGAGTGAGAGGAAATGCACACACACACACGCAACAGCATACACGCACACACAAATATTCTCTAAAATGTGACAATCAAATCAAGATCAATGAGACAATGTCAAACAGAAATGACAGAACATCAAACACACTCGAGACTATTTGATGCCAGAGATAGAGAGCAAAATTTAATGGTTGGTGGTTACCCCGCATTGAAACAAGAGAGATGATCACGATCGGAGATAGTTTCGACTCGATACATATTATATTTTGACTCAATTATTCGATGTGTGCTGTTGTGGCTCAGCTCTACCTTACTTTTGCACTCGTTATACACAAACGCTGTGTCTTATGTCAACAAGAGACTACCCTAGACACACTAAATCGTAATTACTAAACGCTACGAAGACAGCGCTCATACACAACCAACGTCACCAATAATGAAGTAGTAGAGATAGCAAAAAACTGAAAAAGGGCTAAAAGCTCTAAGGTAGTGGTGGGTGGTGACGTCGACCGGGCAGCGAATACACGCTTGAACATGAGGTTTCTGACCGCAGGAGGAGGGTCAACAGCGATCAAAACAGAGAGACTATGCGAAACGATCCGAAGAGGCTAGACATACACGAAACTTAAAAAGGCAGTGGGGATCGCCGTGGCGGTACCGCCGTTGACCCTCCTTTCCATCACAATTGGTACAATCACAAAAATTGGAGAGAGTGAGAGAGAGGATGTATCGCAAATTTTTTGGCAAATTGACACAAACTGACTCTAACTGCGACTACTCTATGGACTGCTTCAAGCGCTCAATGAGCCGTAATCACACTTACTGTACACGACGAGAGTGAGAGAGGAGAACATAAAAAGAAACACCGTTGATGATGATGATGAAAAACATGTTGCAGAAATGAGGATGTTACACGAAAGGACCAGTTTTTTGAATAGGATTGCCGGCGCCAAGCCGGAACCAGGCAGGTTGTGTGTAGGGGGTGGATGGATGTATGGAAACACTCGGCTAAGCGCCAGAGATCGAACTAGAACTACACTATGCACATGAATGAGAAGGTAGATACTATTGACATACGTGGACTGCAGATGACTATTGTTCTTCTTGTTTTAGTTGATGTTGTTGATGTTCTGGATGATGGAGATGAGCACATTCACACACACTCCGCGTCGTGTGGTGTGAGCGAAGAGCATTGCGTGTGTGTGAATGACGGCGTCTACGCTTGTAGCAGAACCTGCGATGGGAACAGGTGCTGCAACTCGAAACGGCTCAGGTTCGCGGCGCCAAGCGGGTCGGCTCCAACTCCCCATAGCGAATCGAGACGCGATGTTGCGCCAAATGGCGTCGTCGCACCCGAGCCACCTGTCCACCACAGATCCGAACTATAGCTACTGCTGCTGCTACTGTTACTGCTCGAGTCATCCATTGACCAACTCCAACCCGCAAACGATTCGCCCAAGGCATCCTGAAATACAAGTACAATAAGTGTGCGCTTGAAGTGTTTGAGCACAATACAAAACAGGAGTACCAATACGTTTCTTGCATTTGAACCAGAGCAGTACTAAGGCCAAACACAATACTCTAGCGCTCTTTCCTAGCGATCTCACTCAGAAATCCACCTCCCCCGACATAATTCTGAGAATTGACTGCATTTTTGCGCTAAGAAAGCAGAATTGTATCCAAAGCATTACTGCACGCCTATTCTGTTGTGGAAGATATGGCAGATGATGATTGACAAATTGATAATGTTCCCCAGCCACTGTGCAAATGCTACTGCACTCAACTCCGTCGAAAAACCAAGAATAATCTCTACCCTTTTACATACATACACACACCAGTTCCTATGCACGAAAGAACAAAAGAAGTTGTTTTCGTCGTTTCGTTTTACGACCTTTATTGTCAGCGGTTGAAGAAAAGGAGATGAATAAAGGTGCACCACCACACGTCGTCACAAAAACCCTTGCGCGTCTCGCGCAAATACGATAATGACATTGGCCGCGATGTGTGCGTTGACAACAGATGCGGATCGTCAGCGAGCGAGCCCGTCGTGAATAGGCGCATTCTCATTTACGGCGCAGAAAAAAATGGCGCTGACGGAGCTGCCTGTTGTTTGTGAGCAGAGAATGATTCATGTGCTAATTTTGTAGCGAAAGTACAGTATACGAAGGACATTTGGTAGAACATAAATTTTTGAGAGAAAAAAATAACTCGAGAAAAAAAAAGGCAAACACAAGTGTAATTTCTTTCAATGATAGTTCTTCCAATGCTTTCAAAAAAAGTAAAGTGAGATGCATGTTTTGGTGGTTAAATTTCGAGAGATCATTTGCGGTCCACATGGTCAAGACACATGATTTTGAAA